TATTTTTTAATGGATTTTATTGTTAAACAATTCTCTTATATAATACAAATATATAAAGTATATGACGTGAATAAAATTTTTATTAAGAGCACCATGAACTTTAATATGATAATATTAGGAAAAAATTAAAAGATTTCAAACGTTTTTCAAAGAATTTTTGAAACGCAAAAAACAAACATGTTTTAATAAAAAAATTCAACACAACCTCACATGAAAAGCCATTATGATCACCCAACTTCTAAACAATATAAAAAAGCTCTCATCAATTTATTTTCTCTTTACTTTATGAAAAAAAAAATTAATTGTGAGAGAAGAAAAAAATTAAAAAAAATACTAATGGGTCCAGCTCCTAGTAAAACCCAAAGCTGATGGGTTCTGTTAACGACAGGACCAATGCTAATGGGTTTTACTCATAGTAGAAGCTAAGGCTGATGGGTCCAGCAGCGATTGGACCCAAATCTATTTTGGGTTTTTTGGGGGGCACGACCCAACTTAATATATTCTCTATGGGTGTAACCATACAGCCAGATTCAATCTCGATATATTTAAAAATAAAATTTAAAAAATATAAAAGTATCAACAATATTAATTTGAAGTAAAGAAAATAATAAAAAAATTTGAAATTTTTTTCTAAGAATTTTTAAAACATTAAAAAAAACATGTCTTAATATGAAAATTCAATACAACCTCAAATGGACAAAAATTACGATCACCCAACTTATAAACAATATAAAAAAAAACTCCCATCAATTTATTTTTTCTTTACTGTATGAGAAAAAATTACATGAGAGAAAAAAAAAATTACTGATGGATCATGCTATAGGTAGGACAAAAAATTACATAAGAAAAAAAAATTTACTGATCCATCCTGCTATGGGCAGGACCCATGTTGATAGGCCCTACTAGAGACAGGACCATGCTAATAGGCCTTATGTCGGGTGCGACAATTATAATAAAAAAATATTTCGAATACAAATAATAATATTTATCATATTAATAATAGTATTGAAATTGTTTGATAAAAGTTTTGATAAATTATTAACAATAACAATAATTAATATTATATTTCTTTTTATTTTTCTTCGAGGTATTAGATTGAGGCTCACAGGTTTGCACTTGATGCATAGGTTTACAGACCAATGTGCGCTGGCTTGCAAACCCGCTCATCGGGTTTTCAGTGAAGCTTGCAAGTTTACCTAGCACCCAGGCCATGACAGTCCTAGCACCAGGTGTTTGTAGTGTGATGCTGCTACTAATCACATGGTCTGGTCCTAGCATTATTGCTTGAAGCCAAGCACCATGTGTCTAGAGCTTGGGTTGTGTAGCTCTATCAAAATCCAAACTGATCATTTTGCCCCCAATTAAAAGGACAACATTCCCATTACACCTCCCTAATTCACAATGCATTTAGCAAAAAGCAAACGAAACACTGCAATTCACAATAAAATCACTCATAGTTTATGGTAACTCTAGTTATAGTATCAAACAATGCAATTCATAATAAAAATACTTATAATCCATAGTAATTTCCACTAAAATAAAATACTGATCCCTTTTAGTCATAATTAATGATATTAGTAATAATATTAAATTTATCTAGCCTAAAATTTTATGGTTTTAATCCCTTTAAATAGAACTTATTGTTTTTCTTCGATAATAATAATATTTTTCTTCAAATTTATTAATGATGATGATAATAATAATAATTTTACTCTTCAAATCAAATCTACTATTATTTTTCAAAATCAATGATATATTTTTCAAAATTCTTAATTATGATATCAATAATATTAATTATAATAAAAATAACAATATTGATAAAAAAATAATAAAATTTTTAATATTAATAATAATAAAATTTAAAATATTTATAATATAAATAATAATATTATTGGGTATGGTTGCGCAGCCAAACCCAAGGATATTGAGTCCTGCTACCCAGCCAGACCCAATATCGATGGGTTTGGTTGCGTAGCTAAACCCAACCCCCTTTTGAAATGTGTTAGGATCTGGATGAGCCGGATCCAACACTATTGGATTTTGATAGACAAAAGGACTTAACGATGTTGGCTCTTTTTGAAAGTGTTTTGGGCTTGGCATGACAACCAAACCCAACAATGTTGGGTCCAATTACTAAGCCAAACCTAACAACTTTTGATAGAGAAGGCAACACTCCTAGTTGTAATTCTTGACCAAAAACAAAGTAGAGGAACACCTTTCAGTGCGTTACAATGCTGTCCAAAATGAAATTAGTTTATGATTACAGTGTCGTCCATAATGCAATGTGTTTGTGTCTACTCCAACACGTTTCGAAAGAGTCCAACAGAAAGTAAAATCAAACAGTGCAATCTACAATAAAAACACTCAAAGTCTATAATGATTCGAAACAGTGTAATCCACAATGAAAACACTCATAGTCTATAATGATTCGAAACAGTGTAATCCACAATGAAAGCACTCACAATCCATAATAAGTCATTTTATAATAAAACATTGATATATTTTAGTTATAATTAATTAGTTAAACACTATTATTAATGCATCCATTTAACTATGCAGGTTAAATAATTTTTTTTAAGGCAAATGAATTATTATGTAGGTATTATTAACATATTTTTTAACAGCGAGTAAAAAATATAATTATGAATCAATAAGTCAATTATTACATATAATAAAATAAAGTGAAGATTATATGTATTAATAAAAACTTGTAAGATCTCAAGCTTATATTTAACATCGTATAAATAATTTCTTAAGAAAAAAGTTTAAATAAAAAAATTAAAAACAAATTATAAAAGAATAAAGTATGAAAAAAAAGAAAGAAAAGAGAATAGAATAAATAGGCCACGTGTAGAGTAATAAATATTTCCAGTGTAAAGAATTGTTTTTCAAAAAAAGTGCAAAGAAAAAAAAGAAAACTAAAAAAATATTACAAAAAAATAAAAATATGAAACAAAAATAATGATAAATAGGTCAAGTATAAAATGATAAAAATTTCAAGTATAAAGAGAAAGAACATTTAAGAAAAACTGGTTTTTTTTAAAAATAAAATAATAAAAAATACAAATTTACCACCACTACAATAAAAAATTTGAAAAAAATTTCAATTGTGCCATTTCTACATTTATTGTTTTTTACAGAAAAAAAATGTAAGGAAAAAAGAAGGAAAAACTAAAAAAAATATTACAAAAAAATAAATATAAAAAAATAGTGATAAATAAATCTAGTATAAGATGATAAAATATCATGTATAAAAAAAATATATAAAAAAACTTGTTTTATTAAAAAAAAAAAACTCATAAATTATAATTTTTTTTATTGATACAGTAAAAAACAATTAGCAAAATTTATAATTGTGCACTTTCTACGAGAAAACATCATTTCCTATAATAATAACACAGGATTTCCAGTTTCAACACCGAATTAATTGCTTTTTAGCTGTCTTATAGTGATTAGTGACCTTGAAAGGTTTGAGACTACACAATTCCAGCGGCAATTCTCTAAAGAAACTATTGTTTGAAAAGCTAGCATACACTAGAAAAGGTATGTACTTCCCAAAATCACTTACAATGCTACTAGAGAGGTTATAGCCAAACAGATTGATGGAAGTTAAAGGAAGTAATATTTGAAATGGTCTCTGGAAACTCCCCATGAAGCTGGTTGGTGTTGAGATCAAGGATTTGCAGCTCGTCAAATTTTCAACTTCTAGTGGAATTTTACCGTTGATGTTATTTGAGAAAAGATTCAAGGATTAAAGATTTGTGAGATTCCATAATGTTGGAGGAAGGGGGCCTAAAAGCTAGTTTCCTGGAAGGTCTAGACTTAATAACTCCTTCAAGTTTCCTATCTCACTGTCATTTTCTCAATTTCTAGAGGAATATTTTCAAAAACAAATTGAGTTGGTAGATTTTGAGTAGCATTGCCAAGTAGGTGATGTTAGTACAAAGGCCAAGCTCAAGAGGGATCGTTGAGCTGGCCTGTAGAAGATGGAATATTATTTACTTGAAAAGAATTGCTGAACAATTCAACAATTTAAAGACCTGATATCGAACCAATGCTTTCAGGAATTTGACCACTCAATTGGTTATTTAGACTACTGTTTTTGAGATTGGAAAGCTTCGAAATGTTGGATGACAATGATCCTTGCAATGAATTGGTAAAGTGATTCAAGGTCTCAAGTTTTCCCAGATTGGTACAGGCCACTTCTGGTATTTGACCTGTGAAGTTATTGAATGACAAATCCAGAAACGTCAGGTTCCGGCAATTGGTTATAAAATCAGGGAATTCTAAAATCGTTCGTTGAGAAAAAAACTAAGATATTGCAATGAAGGCATGGAGAATTTGGACCAGTCAGGGTTTTCCAAGTTGTTTGCTCCAAGGTCTACGTTACCTTGAGCAGACTAGGAAGGTGAATAGGGATGATACTGTTGAGATTGTTGTTGTAAAGACTGAGTTACTGAAGCTCTGTCAACTGAGATGTTCTCCAAAGGTGCCCTTGAAAAAGTTGAAACTGAGGTCCAAGTAATTGAGCTTGGAGAGGCTGCCAATGGCTGATGGTATCATTCCACTGACATTGTTACGCTGGATGTCAAACCTGGTGAGATCAGTAAAAGGGGTGAAGTTGAATTGGGCCAGTGTTCAAGTTATGCTGAGGCTGGGGAGGTTTGTTTGAGAGACTGTTCGAGAGGTGGAGTTGCAGGAAACAGCAGTCCACTTGCAAAGGTTTTTGAGGTTGGAACGAGACCATGAACTAAAAGGAGGTGAAAAAGACAAGGTGTTTTTCAATTGGAGGAGAGCTTCAGCTTGTGTTCTTGCTGATGATTTGGCCTTCAATGGAATGATCTCTCCAACGCATAAATGGTTGGCATTAATTCATGAGCATGTTCCTAGAGCCGGCTCTGCTTCATTTTTCATTTTGCTTAAACTATGTTAACAGCTCTGGTAATAGTAAGGAAAGCAGTTAGAATCCACAGTTCAGAAAATGTGATTATGATGCAGACTTTTCTTCTGAGGAAGACAATGTGAATAGCACAAAAGTACAGCCATGTTGTATTATATTACTTATTAATCAAACCAATGAAAGAATTACAACTGCAAGCACGCATCAAGAACAACCGTATATCATAATTCAAGAACAACCGTATACCATAATTCACAAAGGGAAAAGGAAAATAGAGATGGAATCACACACAAAACAACACTCCAACCATGTTTAACGAACAACAGAAGTTTAACGAACAATAGAAGTTTGAGTTGAGTAGGTTCTAGCAGCATCACCACCATTCAAAGCTCTCTCTAGTCTTGTCTCAAATGGAGTGGAGTGCCAATTCACTCTCTTGTCCTGCAGTCCCAAAAAACTTATTCAAGTTAACAGTGCCAAGTGCCATTATCACTCAACATCTTAACAGGAAAGAAGTTCTACAAAATCTTCACTAGATATGTACCTCTCTGTACTTGCTGGTCGTGTTGGGTATTCCTTTGTACGAAGAGGCCGAGCCAGAATCCTTTCCGGAGCCACTGTGATTCCAATAAGTCCCAACAGTTCCTATTATTGGCATCTCATCAGGGCTACGACTTGGTGACCTCCTGGAAGAAGAAGTAGCTGAAAGCTGTTTAAGCTCTTCCACCGTTAGTGCCCCAAGAATAGGCCTATCATCAAAGCTTCTTGGTGAATTAGATCCCTGTGACATGCTTTTCTCAGGTGCAATGGCATCTAAACCAATTGAGCCAGGCTTATTGACTGGTGTGCATTCAGATGAACCCAACCAATTAGACAAGCTAGTATCCACCGCTATTTCTTGGTCTGGCTTATTACATTGACCAGCTTTTGCCTTGAAACTGAATGCCAATTCCTTAAAACCAGGCTCGGAACTAAACGACATTCGAGGTTCTTGATCCAATGTCAGATTCTCTTTCTGTTGCCTCAATGGTGGTTTTCCTTTTGCTTTTACAATCTTCCATTGACTTAGATTTTCAACTGGGTTCAGCACAGCAGCTCTCCTATCTCGAAAATTCCTATTCCCAGACAAACCACTGTTCATCACGTCACTATCATTCTCATCGTTAGCCAATTTTGTCATTCTAGACGTTGACTCTGCGGTTTCATCATCCTCATATACATCATCATAATCTAGCCCCCCGTCCTCCTCCTCCTCCTTATCATCATCATCATAAAATTGCGTTGTTCACTTAAAAATAGTGAATAGTGCAATTCTCTTGCATTGTTCATTGCGTGGATACTTTATATATATATACACATTTAGATTAGGAGAGGCGCCCTCTGTCGTTTGAAATATAACATAATTAGTATTTCTTTTGTAAATAAAATAAGTGGGCGTATGTGTAGCTTGAAACACGAAGTGTGTACGGTACTGTAATTGTTTTTACAGTTATGATTTTAAAAATTAAGTTTTTTTAAAAAATATTTTTAATTATAATTTTTAAAAAATATATATTTAATTGAAACAGTTGTAACAGTAATTTTTATTTGCAAAATAAATAGAATTTTTGAAAGAATTGTTTTTTTTATGGATTAGATTTCTCTCTAATTATTTTATTTATGTTGGTTAAATTATTTTTTTGCACTTGCAAGAGATATTTAAAAAATTCAAAAAATAAATAAAAAATAATTGAATTTTTTTTGTTAGAGCCTGTTTGGCTTTGCGGTTGCGGCTGCGCAATTACAGCTGTTTGGTTAGAAAAAATGAAGGTATATTATTCACTTCACTAGATCCCATATCTTTTCTGCGTTGAAAATGCAGAATTTGAAAAGCAAGAATTACTTGCTTTTTTTCATTGCTCACACAATTACACTGTTCATTGAACAGTGCATAGTGGTGCACTGTTCAGTGCAAGAAAATTGCGTTGTTCACTTAAAAATAGTGAATAGTGCAATTCTCTTGCATTGTTCATTGCGTGGATACTTTATATATATATACACATTTAGATTAGGAGAGGCGCCCTCTGTCGTTTGAAATATAACATAATTAGTATTTCTTTTGTAAATAAAATAAGTGGGCGTATGTGTAGCTTGAAACACGAAGTGTGTACGGTACTGTAATTGTTTTTACAGTTATGATTTTAAAAATTAAGTTTTTTTAAAAAATATTTTTAATTATAATTTTTAAAAAATATATATTTAATTGAAACAGTTGTAACAGTAATTTTTATTTGCAAAATAAATAGAATTTTTGAAAGAATTGTTTTTTTTATGGATTAGATTTCTCTCTAATTATTTTATTTATGTTGGTTAAATTATTTTTTTGCACTTGCAAGAGATATTTAAAAAATTCAAAAAATAAATAAAAAATAATTGAATTTTTTTTGTTAGAGCCTGTTTGGCTTTGCGGTTGCGGCTGCGCAATTACAGCTGTTTGGTTAGAAAAAATGAAGGTATATTATTCACTTCACTAGATCCCATATCTTTTCTGCGTTGAAAATGCAGAATTTGAAAAGCAAGAATTACTTGCTTTTTTTCATTGCTCACACAATTACACTGTTCATTGAACAGTGCATAGTGGTGCACTGTTCAGTGCAAGAAAATTGCGTTGTTCACTTAAAAATAGTGAATAGTGCAATTCTCTTGCATTGTTCATTGCGTGGATACTTTATATATATATACACATTTAGATTAGGAGAGGCGCCCTCTGTCGTTTGAAATATAACATAATTAGTATTTCTTTTGTAAATAAAATAAGTGGGCGTATGTGTAGCTTGAAACACGAAGTGTGTACGGTACTGTAATTGTTTTTACAGTTATGATTTTAAAAATTAAGTTTTTTTAAAAAATATTTTTAATTATAATTTTTAAAAAATATATATTTAATTGAAACAGTTGTAACAGTAATTTTTATTTGCAAAATAAATAGAATTTTTGAAAGAATTGTTTTTTTTATGGATTAGATTTCTCTCTAATTATTTTATTTATGTTGGTTAAATTATTTTTTTGCACTTGCAAGAGATATTTAAAAAATTCAAAAAATAAATAAAAAATAATTGAATTTTTTTTGTTAGAGCCTGTTTGGCTTTGCGGTTGCGGCTGCGCAATTACAGCTGTTTGGTTAGAAAAAATGAAGGTATATTGTGTAAAGGTGGTAGGGATAAAACGGTCAAGAGATAGGAGCGAGGAGGTAGGGTTTTGTTTTTTTTAAGACGAAAAGGGAAGTGACCGTTAGGATTCTTTCTCGAGGAGGGATTGGGGACACAGCCTGTAAATTTGGGATTTTGTAATTTTCCTTTGGACAATTACAAACAACTCCTTATTTTATAGGTGTAATATCAAGTAAGTCCTCAAATCTACTTTCAGTCTTGATTAAGTCCCTAATATGTCAATAAACTCTCAATCCAAACCTTTGTTCCTTTGGCAAATTACAAACAAGTCCTTATTTATAGGTGTAATCTCAAGTGACTCCTTAATATACTTTTAGTCTTGATTAAGTCCCTATTATGTCAATAAACTCTCAATCCAAACCTTGTGTTAGTTTAAGTTAATATAATAAATAATTATTCATATAAAAATCATGTGATTTACTTTTACCTTATTAGAAACTAGTGAATTCATTAATATATTGGGAATGAATCCAGACAAAGAAGAGAAAGGTTAGAGACCTAATTGAAATTAATCATAAAGATCGGAGACTCTTATGAAGTTTGCCCTCTTCATTTTCGTTTTCTTTTTCGAAATCTATCCACTGTGCCCGGACCGTTAATCCACTCAGAGTTAGTGGGTCCCGTGTTGGTTACGCCATCTCTTGCAGATTAGGAGAGGCGCCCTCTGTCGTTTGAAATATAACATAATTAGTATTTCTTTTGTAAATAAAATAAGTGGGCGTATGTGTAGCTTGAAACACGAAGTGTGTACGGTACTGTAATTGTTTTTACAGTTATGATTTTAAAAATTAAGTTTTTTTAAAAAATATTTTTAATTATAATTTTTAAAAAATATATATTTAATTGAAACAGTTGTAACAGTAATTTTTATTTGCAAAATAAATAGAATTTTTGAAAGAATTGTTTTTTTTATGGATTAGATTTCTCTCTAATTATTTTATTTATGTTGGTTAAATTTTTTATTTTCACTTGCAATAGATATTTTGATATATTTAAAAAATTCAAAAAAAAATAATAATTGAATTTTTCTTGTTTGTGGTTTTTATTTAATTTCTCTATTATCAGCTGATTAACTAGATACTACAGTGATTCAAAAGTTGATTTTCCATTTTTTATAGTTTCTAATGATTTTTTCTTTCAATTTTTAAAATAAAAAATAAAAACATAAATAAATAACAAAAAAAAATACATTTTTTTATGCTTCAACTAAACTTCAAAGATATTATTATCTTTTATATGAACCGTTGAAGATGGGGGGTGCAAAAGGCATCTGGTGATTGATCCAAAGATCGGTCAATGAAGTGGACATTTAATTTTAATTAATCTAAGTAAATTTAGCCATCATTTGTCGCATTCAAGAGACTTATCCACCATTCTAAAATAATATTTAATTTGAATTAATTAGATATTCGTCAATAAATAATATTTAATTTGAATTTGCCCACCATTTCAACCAGTATAATGGAATGTAGCTAGCTCCGGTCAATTTTAAATTAGAACAAGAAATTATATGCTCGGTACATATTATTGTAATAATTGAGATGACAAGCTTCAAGGAAGGGCATAAAAATTAGCAATGGGGTGAGAGAGGCTCGCACTCTCGACCTCAGGATAACTCAGAAGCTATGAGACCTACGCGCTAGCCAACTGCGCCACCACCCCAGATGTTGTTCGGATATCATTATTTATAATTAGATTGTTGTTTAGAGGGGTCAGCTTCTTTGATTGGTTAGCCAAAAGCAAAAGCAACAAAAAAGCCCGCAAGGCATCGGAAAAATAAACAAACCCTAGCCCAAAAACTCCCACGCTCCTCCTCCTCCTCCGTTCTCTGTCTCAGAGTCAGAAAGAGTAACATCAGCCTGAAAAACTTTCAGTTGACTGCTTCCACACACACACAGACGCAAAGAAGAGAAGAGAATGGATTCGGACGAAGGCACAGAAGAGAAGAGAATGGATTCGGACGAAGGAAAGCTGTTCGTAGGAGGAATAGCATGGGACACAACCGAAGACACGCTAAGAGACCACTTCAACCAGTACGGCGAGGTCTCTCAGGTTGTCATAATGCGTGACAAAACCACTGGTCGTCCTCGTGGCTTTGGTTTTGTCGTTTTCTCCGATCCCTCCGTTCTAGATCCTGTTCTTCACGATAAACACACCATCGATGGCCGTACTGTAATTATTCTTCCTCTCTCTCTTCTTTGGGGCTTAAGCTGCATTGGGTTTCCGTTAATTCGTTCCCTATTTGATATGATTTGAATTGATTATACATTTGATTTATCCCGCTTTTTCGTTGGATTTATGGGTTTCTTGTATTTTATTTATCTATTTATTTGTTTGTTGTCCAAAATGAAAGTTGCTGCAAAAATAAAAAAATCGAGTAATGCTAGCTAGCTAAATGTCAAGAAGAGAAAAACTCCAAGAACACACGAGCCGTTGGATCATGATTTTAGAGGGAGACCCGCTTGTAGGTCCTACATATCCAACGGTTCATGTATATTGTTGAAGTTTTTTCTTGTTATATTTTCTTAATGTTTAGCGTCACACAAAAAAATAAATTTTTTTCATGGAGCAGCTCACCAGTGGTTGATTTGAGATTTATAGTATTGTTTTGGTGTGCAGGAATATTGGGATTTAATCTGTTTCTGTAAAGTAAATGGTTTTGGACTGTGAGATTGTTTTTTAGGAGTTTTAATTTTGTTCATTGGCAATATAGGTGGAGGCGAAAAGGGCTTTATCGAGAGAAGAACAGCATACATCATCTAGAACTGGGAGTTTTAATGGTGGTAGAGGCTCTGGTGGTGCAGGGGATTTTAGGACGAAAAAGATTTTTGTTGGTGGCTTGCCTTCCACCGTGACAGAAGATGGATTCCGTCAGTATTTTCAAAGTTATGGTCATGTAAATGATGTTGTAGTAATGTATGACCAGCAGACTCAAAGGCCTCGTGGATTTGGATTTATCACCTTCGATTCTGAAGATGCAGTTGATAATGTACTCCAGAAGACCTTTCATGAGTTGAATGGTAAACTTGTAGAGGTAAAACGAGCACTCCCGAAAGATGC